ACGTCTACGGCGACGTCGGCGGCGACGCCATCCGCCGCGGCGGCGGCGACAGCCCCTTCAGCTGCCAGAAGATCCTGACCGAGCACCCGCCCGGCCCCGGCGAGGCTCACGGCTGCCCCTACCGCCACTTTGACCTCGAGAACCTCAACGCCCTCATGGGCGGCATGGGCGTCACCGAGCGGGGTGTTCTGCAGGGTGTCAGGGAGGACAAGGAGGGCCAGAGGTTTCACATGGCGTGTAATCGGGATGTTTTTTTTTTCTCTTTTCTTTCTCTTGTCTTTTCTTTCTCTTCTCCTTTTTTTCTCTTGTTTGCTCCTGCGTTTCTCTTTTTCTTCGTCTCTCATTTATTCTCTTTGCTCCCGTCTTCCTCCCGTTTCATGCCCGGCTCTTCGGGACACCGGGCCAACAATATGGCTACCCGACGACTAAACTTTGCTGACCCCCCCCCCCAGCGTCTTCGAGCACCTCCACAAGCAGGAAATCAAAAAGGCAAAGGACGACAGCGTCTTTCACGTCAGCCCAGCTCGAGACGATCGTGCACCCGAACGAGTACTTCAAGAGGAGCTACCTGCTGAAGAACCTCGACAAGGCGCGGCAGGCGGACGTCAAGATGGAGGGCGCCTAGGCTCAGGGGTCGTGTCGGGCGCTCCCGAGAAGGTTGCGCGGCGCGGGCGGGGCGAATGTGGTGTGCATGGTCTCTTTTGGGCCGCGGGCTATCTGGCATGATGACGGGGTTTGGCCTTGGGAAAGAGAGAATGTCCGCGATGCGGACCGGATGGCGTTTTTGGTCTTTGTATTGCGCAGCAAGGGAGAGCATGGGGATACCGGCTTTTTTTTGTTCATGTTGTTCCTGATGTTGCATTTGTCGTTTGCCTTGCAGGATTCTATTCCATCTTTTGAAGTCCATACATACTTCGACCACGCCTTGCGTCCACCTACATACTTCGACCCCGCTTGATGTCCACTTACATGCTTCGGCCGCCAGTTGCTGTGTCCATGTGGCCGCCAGAAGTGCCCTTGAGATGCTGAATGGGCGGGTATACCGGCAGGCAATCGACGGCTGCGCTTGATGAGCTCTGAGGCCTGAGGGCTTACGAACAGGCGAAAACAGTCCTTCAAACGGCACGGGCGTCACCCACAACATCCGAGCTCAGGGAACGATGGCCTACGTCGACGCCTCTTTCCAAAGCCAAGCCATCAAGACATGTATCAGAGACAGAGCATTCGTTTAGTCAATGGTGAAAACGTATCAGAAGCCCTTTGTGACCAACACACGGCTCGCAGCCAGTCACATGAGGCTGCAAAGTGCAGAAGCACGTGAGCCTCACGGTTCCACCCAGGAGTTGTCGCATCATGATGATCCAGACAGCGCCCCGTCTGGATAGGCCGATCGCTACGCTGAGAATACACCGGCATGATGCCCGCCCGGCTGGTCGCACACTAGATGGGACCTGACAGCGAAGCCGCCTCCGTTGTGGTCATCAAGGCAGGCCGGCCGACCTTTGTCAAGATTCAAGGGCTCCCCGCAATCGACTAACTCCACGCCACGCTTTGAGATGGATCGAATGGCCCTACCCAGGAACCATCTGAACATGCTTAAAAAACTACTGCAAGCCTCGATGCAGCCCATCGCAGGCTGGATATTCAGGGTCCATCTCCCATAGACCCTTTCGACGCCGCGCACCAAAAACGGTGTCGCGAATCGTGGCTCGACCGCTACCGTTTCAACAAGGTCCAACGACAAGAAGTAAAGGCCCGCATCTCACGGTCGAGACATGTCCTGCGCTTCCCGACACGATGGACGCCCTAAGAGGCACGACTGCATGATGAGGTCATGCCGTCAGCAGTCAACCCCTCGTCCCGCGCCCCGAACGCGCCAAGCGCGCCGGCCTTCCTCGCACCCCCCTTCATTATTCTTGTCTCTGTCTCCCCTTTCTCACAACGCCAGCAGCCCGGGTCGCGGGGAGATAGTGTGAAGTGCCAAAGGGACCCTCCCAGGCGTGTGCCGTGGCGAAAATCGAGGGTCCAGCCAGCCAGCCAGTTCTCTTCTCCCCCTCCCTTCCACGGAGGAACAGGCGTGAACGGCAGGGTCCAGCCCGCTCGTGCGTCATTCCCCCTAGGGTCGTGACATCGTCGGACGTTCTAGACCCGTCCAGAACCGGGCGGGCGGGGTGAAGGGGCCCAGAGCCCGCGCCGCGCCGGAGGGCCAGTCCGGTGCTGGCTTGTTGGTCCGGTGTGTGCGCGCTCCCTTGGATGGTTAGTTGGCAACTAGCAACCTGTTTTGTTTGTTGGTGCCCTGGCCTTCTCGACTTGCATATTGACAGGCTGCGGGGGAGAGCAAGGGTGACGGCCGCAGATGGCTGGACAGAGGAAGGGGGGTCCCGGTCCAGAACAAGATCGAAATGTCCTTTCCTTTCACTGCGTTGCAACTTTGTTATGCCGAGCTACTGGGGACATCATCTCCGCAACACGGTGGGAGCAGCCTTTTGCGCCGAGCAAGGCAGCGCGTTCGGAACGGACGACCACATCCGGCATGGCGCACCGTTCAGGCTGGCCGACCGGGAGAATGGGAAGCTCGCCTGTGCCCCGGATTCATGGGCATTGCCACTCGGGATAATCGCAACTTAATCTGCCTGTCGCCTCTGCCCAAGCTCCAACTTGTGATCCATGCCACGGGGTGCAGCACGTCACAAGCAGAGCACGATCCCTTTGTGCAGCCTCTTGACACAGATCAGATGGGAAAATCGACTGCAACTGACGATGGGGGCTCCGTCTCGTCTGTTTCTTCCTGTCACCAATGCCGAGGAGACGCCCGCGAGAAGGGGCCCTGCATTGCGTCGCACGGCACAATGACATCGCCATGCATGGGCTAGCGCGCGCCGACTTGCTCAGGGCTGTTGTGTGTCTCCGCGAGGGGATTGATCCTCCCCACCACCAGTGGGCCGCCGTGGCAAGAGGGTGCGAATAGCATCACAAGTCTTGTCATGGTGTCGACAGACAGGAATGAGGACAGAGGGGGCCAGAGACAACATGCAACATGCAAGTCGAGTGATCGGCATTGACCGGGCCACGGTCGTGACGAGCTCGTGCGTTCGTGTGCGAGTACGGTACATGCGGGCGAAAGCTTGTCGCCGCATGGTAAGACCACACGCCCAAGATGGCACGAGGTGTCGTCTTGGCAATCTCGATCCAGGGAAGGATTGGCACGTACAGAGTGTACTGAGAGAGAAGATAGAAACAAAGAAAAAAAAAACTTGCTCGTGAGAACGACAGACCGGCTCCGAGGGTGCCGGCTCACGACTCGTGCCCTTGCTTCCAAGAGACCGTTCGACCTACGTGCCTGTCTCTGCAGTGCATCCGAAGAGTCAAAGGCAGGGTTAGGAGAGGAGGAGACATGCAAGTCGCGACGTCGCGCTCCCTCCCCCCTCCATCGCCTACCTCTCTCTGTCTCTCTTTCTCTCTCTCTCGTGGGTGCGCAGTGAAGGTGACACGTCTGCTCTGGATATGTCGCGGGGCGCCCAGGTCCGCCGATGGTGGTATGCAGATGCAGCCGAGAGAGACACACCGGGATGGATCGTAAATCGCTCGTTTCTATTTTTTTCTTTTTTCTTTCTGGCTCTTTGTTTCTTCCGTTCTGCTGCCTTTGTTGCTGCGTCTGGAGCCCTGGGAAAACAGAAAACAAAGGTGCCTACCTAAAAGGCAGATACGAGCACCGCCGGCAGTGGTGTGCCCCGCCGTCGAGGATGTAGCTTCGGAGGCCCTTCCCCTGGTGCCTTCCCTAAGCCCTAAGGTCCCTTCCCTAAGCCCTCAGGTCCCTTCCCTGAGGACCCTCCCCTAGTCCCTTCCCCAAGGACCCTTCCCCCAGGACCTTCCTGCCCCTAGGACCCCATTCAGCAGGGCCGGCGGCGCTTCGTATCAATCAGCGGTCGATCCCCGAGAATAGAAACAGGCGCGGCACCAAGACACGAGGGGCACGACAGCACTGCGCGCCAGGCCCCCAAGGCAATGGCGCTCTCCATCGGTCGCTGGAAGGAGCGACCACGGCAGGAAGGCAGACGATGCTCCTGACTCCTGACCGTATCTGTCTCTGTCTGCAGACAATGGGAGGGTGTGTCTACATCGACCGTTCCGGCTGCTCTGATGGAAGGGCCCACGCCAGGGCAGGGGGCCGCGGGAGCGCAGGAACAAGATAAACGGGCAACGCAGCCTCAGCCACCACCGACCCGTGGACGCGCAGATGCGAGGCTCTATTTCTGTCCTGTGCATACCTACATGTAGGTACCTCACAGAAACACCGCGCCGTTTCGTTTCTGCTGTCGTCTTGTCGCGTGCGAGGGAGAGAAACGTTGGCTGCCGGGCTGGCTCTCTGCCTCGCCTCGAGGGTCAAATAAAGTAAAAGTACGACGACGCAGCCAGCCAGCCAGCCAGCCAGCCAGCATGCGGCCGCTCGTGTCCTCCAAGCCTGTACCCGGTCCTCGTGTCGCTGTCCGCGCGCTGGACAACGTTGAGACATGCGTCTTTGCTCTGCACGTCGAAAAGAGACGCTGGCCCTGCCGAATCCCTCGCTACCGTGTCGGGCCGGGCGCGCGGCAGATG